GCCTCCCAGAGGCTCCCCGCTGCTAAGGAATCACAGATTCTAGCAGCTAAAATGTGAAGTGTAATAAGCTCTTCCTGTACACTTATTGGGGCACCCATCAACCTCTTCCAGGTTGCCCACTGCAAGGGACCCCGGTCTCAGCAGTTGAAGTCTCGGGTGTATAGTACACATACACACACCACTCACTGCCCTGCCCGTCGGCTGACAACTGGTCCGCAGCTGGGGAGCAGAATCCCATCTATCACCTTCCATCCTGCAAATACCACCTGCCTGCCATCCTCTTCGGGGCTCTTTTAACATCAGCGAGGGACTCCCCGGTGTACCGCTCGGGTGTATAGTATACACACACACACCACTCACTGCCCTGACCGTCGGCTGACAACTGGTCTGCAGCTGGGGAGCGGAATCCCATCTATCACTTTCCATTCTGCAAATACCACCTGCCTGCCATCCTCTTCGGGGCTCTTTTAACATCAGCGAGGGACTCCCCGGTGTACCGCCCTGAGGGCTCTCAACCAGCCTAAGGGTTGCAGGGTCCGAGCAACGCTCTCCGGATTCTGTCACTCCAGTTCAAGAAGAGCAAGTAGCCATCTGTAAATGGGGTACAACTTACCTTTATGTTCTCACTGTCTGTGGCTATATGAGGGGTTTTGACTGTTCACTTCCACTGTTTTGTTGATGATTATTAGTTTGCTCCGGGCTTCTTCCCCCATTCTTCCCATTTTTGTACACAGTCCCTAATACAGTTCCTTCTTGTTTTCACCTTTAATCTGAGTCTGTTATTCTTTTCCCTTTGGTTTCTTACGGGTCTAAATCACAGGTGATAGACCCTGAGGGACGGGGTGGATCTGTTTTCTTTTGACTGGGGCTGTTACCAGCAGGCCATATTAGCATGTTATCCAGGCCCCAGGGGTAACAGGGAGGAGATGAGAAGTCCTCTCATTCTCACAGCAATTGCAATAAAGAGCTGTGGTGACTTACAATGTGGTGACTTACTTAATGTAGAAAGCTAGGGCACGTCTGACATCCAGAGAATGGAGCATTTGCTCTCTATGGTTAGCACATGATTTAGGGAAGAACACAGGCAAGAATATGTCCTGCTTTTACAGGAAACTGAGAGACCACCTTTGGTTGAAATGCCAGATGTGGGCATAGTTATACCTTATACTGTATTTTATAAGGATATCAGGGCTCAGAGTGAAGAGCCCAAAGCGGAGACCCTTCTGGCTGATGTTATCACTACAAAAAAGGGCCCTTTCCATGACAAATATGAGAGGGGGCAAGTGGCCAAGGGTTTGAATGGCGGGGGGAAGGGAGCCTGTGAGCTTGGACTACACAAGGCTGTGGTCCCACTGGAGAGTCGGCTGTCTGACATGTGGGTATAAGCTATTTCACCCTAAGTAATTGCCCAACCATGAGGTAAGCAAACATGGATTTATCCTGTGTCCCTGGTGAATGGCAGAGATGGCTCCTAAGTGCACCTTTATAGAGGATATTCCCAGATCTTTCTGCTTCAACTCCAGTAAGTAGCCCAAAATCTTGGAAATAGCTGCCAGCCATGAGAGAGAACCCTTCTGCTGGGCCCAGATGGCAAACTGCTTCCATTTTGCCCGGTGTGTGGCTCAGGTGGACAGTCTTCTGCTTCCCAGAAGGATCTCCTTCACTGACTCCGAACACTAAGTCGAGAAGATTCAACCATAGCATCTCCAAGCCGTGAGGTGGAGGGACTCCAGGTTGGAGTGATGGAGTCATGGCTGTGGCCTTGTGTTATGAAGCCCTTATGTAAGGGAAAGACTACTGTGACTGAGAGGCTCCATGGCGCAATGAACCAATGTCAGTGGGGCCACGCTGGTACTATCAGGATACTCAAAGCTCTGTTCTCTCTGACCTTGAGGCAGAGTCCCCCTAGGGGGAGAATGGTGGGAAGGCATAAAGTGGAAGTCTTGCCCATATCGGGTAAAACACATCTGAGATAGAGCTGGGGCTGAATCCCAGGAGGGACCACTCAGCCACTTCCTGTTGCCTTGCGCTGCAAACAGGAAACTTCCACTTCTGGAAGAAGGAGGGGGTAAAAAAAAGCACACTGACCTCGGGGACCATTCGTGGCTGGAGAACAAGCCACTGAGTCGATTTGCTAACCTGTTCTGTCTGCCTGGTGGCTATAAGGCTTGTATGTCTGGGAATTCTGCATTGTCATTTCCCTAGCTCTCTGAGGCTTCCTGGCAGAGGGGAAAAGAGTAAGCACTACCTTGCCAGCATGTTGTCCTTGAGCACTGACATGCAAGCCCTGGGGGTGATCCTTGAACACTCCAGGCGGATGGCTCTGAATCTCCGTACATTGATGTGTAGGGCCAGTTCCTCCTGTGACCGTAGGTCTTGTGTCTGGATCAGACCAATGTGTGCTCCCCACCTCAGTGCCCATACATCCATAACCAGTGGCCTGGTGGGTTGTGGCTTGATAAAGGGGACTCCCGCACACACTACTTGTTGTTGTAACCACCAGCATAAGGTCTGGAGGGTGTGCAGGGCAAGACAACTATCCTGTCCATTGGGCCCCCACTGGGCCTGTATCCTTGTGCTAACCATATCTAGTGAGGTCTGAGCCGGTCTTACGTGTGTGACCATATGTGCACATGGCCACATGTCCCAGCAACCTCAATCATACCTGGCTGTTGTAGGAAACTGAAGGCAGTTTCCTATGATGAATCGAAAGGCATGGAAGCACTCCTCTGGCAGGGGTGCTCTGGGTAGCTGAGTTCAGTAGAGTTCAAACGAAGGCAGTCTTCTGCTTAGGCACCAGAGTGGATTTGGATACATTTACTGAGACCCAGTTTGTGGAATGTGGCACACACCAGTGACATGTGATCTGCTGCTTGTGCTTGTGAGCTGGCCCTGATGAGCCAATCATCCAGGTATGGAACACCTGAATCTGGCGCTTGCAAGCTAGGCTGCTATGACTGCCATGCTTTTCATGGATACATATGGAACTGTTGAGAGCCGAACAGGCGCACGTGGAGCTGAAAATGTTGGCCACTGACCACAAAGCATAGGATAATGGAAATGTGGAAGTATGCATCCTTCATGTCGAAGGCAGTGTACCTTCCCCTGGATCCCAGGAGATCGTGCAAAACTGCATTGTTCTGATGAATGTGTAGAGGTTTCACAGGTCTAGGATAGGCCTGAGGGGGCTCCCCCTTTCAGTTTGGGGTTTAGGAAACATCTGGAATAAAACCCCTTGCCCCTGAATTCCTGAAGAACCTCCTCTAGTGCCCTCCCATAGCAAGAAGCGACTGCACCTCCTGCAGAGAGTTGCTCATGAAGAGAGATGGGAAGGAGGGGAGGGAGAGTGGTAGGGAGCAAAAATGGATGTAATATCCCATCCCCCACTGTGCTTAGGCACCATTGCTCTGATGTAATCTGGGACCAAATGCAGTGGAAGTGGGAGGAATGATTCACAAAGGGTGGATACTGGTACCCTGTCCACAGGAGCACCCTCAAAGTTTTTTTTTTTTTTTGGCTCGTGTTTAAAGGAACCCTGCCTTTGGCTTGAAGGAGTGTGGCTGTTGCTTCCTGTTACTTCTGCTCTTCCTAATAGTCCTCTCTTTGATGTCTAGAATAGAAATGGGAGGAGGGGTTGACGTTTAAATGTCTTTCTCTGGGGTGCTGGTGTGTGGATCCCCAGGAATTTTAATGCTTCTCTTGAGTCTGTTAGACTGTGCAAGTGAGTCTGTTTGCACCTCAAAAAGCCCTGCACAATTGAAGGGTAAATCCTGAATAGTGTTCTGGACTTCAGGGAGTATGCCTGAGGCTTGTAACCTAGCACTGCACCTCACCATGATCGCAGTGCTCATGGTCCTGGGTATGGAACCAGCAGAGCCCGAAATGGCTTGCAGAAATATTCTTGATACTGCCTTGCCCTCCTCCAGGAGAGCAGAGAACTCTGTACTAGAATCCAGTAGGATCAACTCTCTGAATTTAAACCAACGCACTCCAGAAGTTGAAGGCCTATCAGCTAAGAAGAGCTTGTTGGTTGCTCACTCACAGCTGCAGACCTCCTGGGGTATAGAATTTGTCGCCAAACACGTCCATACTCCCACTGAGTATTCCAGCAAGAAGGAACTGAGCAAGTGGTGGGTTGGTTAGTGTCTGAGGCGGGGGGCTTAGTGAGCCTCTACGTTAAATATCACCCAACTGCAGCAGCTTTCCCCTATTGATTAGGGAGTCCCATCAAATAACCCTCACCTAGAAATGCAAGTTCCATGAAGAAGGGAAGAAAATGGACAGAAAAATCTGCTCCCCAAATGTCCGTCACTTTTCATTTGGCCTTTTAATATTTTAACCACAAAATAGATTGGAAGACTCTTTACAAAAAGCCTGAAAGCAATAGGTCAATTTTTTTAAAGAGATCCTGACTTCCTGTCACACACAGGAAACTCCTCAAATAAATTGAAACCCAACAACAGTTTAATATAATCAAGACCTTTATTGATCTTGTAACAGCAACCATTATTGAGAGCTTTTCCCCAAACACCTGTTTGTTTAAAGGACAGTAAAAAACTGAATTGTACAGAAGCTGCCCAGTGACTATTCAGGCAGTCTCTGCTTTTCAGCCAAAATAACATTTAAAATTGAAAGGAGGTGGGATAGGAAAGGGAGAAAAGAAGGAGCTGACAATGGTACTTTTTAAAATTTATAAAGGCTTTCTAAGAACAATGAGTTTAAAAATGTGTCTCAGACACCCATGAAATATCATACGATTGGTACTGTCCTCTGTGCTCTCCTAAGACACCTTCACAACTCAGCAAAGAGTGTTTTGCAATGCTGCCGCTTTCCTATCTGAGGTGAAGAAAGGCACTGGGTCCCCATCTCGCAGTGATGCAGATATGGACAAGGGAAGCAGAATGGGGAAGTCACTGTTTTATTCCCAGTGTCACTAGGAACCAGGATGCTTGCTGCCCTTGATTTTTTTTCTTTCACTTCTAGTGTGACTAACAGATACTGCATGTTACTCTTGGCTCCTGTTTTAGGTTAATTATCCTTTGATTTTGGTTTCTAGAGCAATTTTGTGAGAAGAGTTGCTCTGCTAAAATGGATACTTCACACAGCAGCTATTTGCCCTTCTTATTTAGCAAAGTTAATCTTCCCTGTGCTGCTCTATCCAAGACTCTAACAAGACTTCCTGGGATTTTAATCAAAATATATTTATTTTTATATATTTGTGTGCACTATTAACATCCACATTTAAATTTGAACATACTCTGCCTCTGCCCTTCTGTGGAGATTTCTCATTTGATGAATAACCACTCAATTTTAACAAGGAAGTATCAAAGCATACTTCTCAACCTGCCAAACACTGTATGTGAGAATAAATCCCAATAACAGTAGGGCAAGTAACTTAAAATAATGCTCTACAATAAGTATTTATTTCTATAACACCAATTTTATGAATCAGAATTTTAGATCAATTTATAAGCACAAAAGAAAGCTCATTCCAAGCCCGTGTGAAATGGCTGAATTTAGACAGAAGTAGGGGGTGATTTGAGAGATGTGCTATTGAGCCTCATAAGAGTACCCACCTTTTACTACATCACTCCCTCCCCACCAAGAGGCATTACAAAAACCTCCAGTATGAGTTTAGGTGAAGGGGTGTTTTCCCTAGATGGACAACTAAGGGGAAGAACAGATAGAAGATGGCCACTGAAATCTAGGTGCTGCAAATCACTTATCAAAAAAGAGGCAAGCCCGGCATCTTTGATGCCAAGTGAGTCCCACTACAAAACTAAATTTGAGTTCAGATCATGGGGAAAAATACTGATTTGTCATGAAGTGGTATTTTTCACATGTAAGCAAGGGCAGGATCATTAACACAGAACAGGCACTAGGAATTGAGGCAAAGGAATACTAGCTCAAAAAGGGCAGGTGCAGTGAAAGGAGATCAGTGAAGAACAGCATCACATTTTTTAGGGTCTGGGAGGGAAAGCTACGAGTTAAAAGGTAAATAGTTCAGAAATAAAAGTGGAAAAAATGAAATTAAAAACACAGATAACCACACTGTCACTCCAAAGATGCAGTTCTCCTTTCTTTAGCTATGAGCAAATGATGGATTGCTTTCCCAAAAAATGGATTGGATTTTGTTGTGTCTTGGAGACTGGTTTCTGAGTGTCAACAAAAAGCCCCTGTATTCTGGGACCATTTAGAGGTTTCCTAGATATGAATAGAGAGACTGGGAAAAATAGATAATTATGAGGAGCATATTTTCCTTAAGGACGGTCAATTCCAAGTGCAAGATCATAGTCTAGAGAGGATCACAGTGCCCTCTGATGGCAAAACTGGTAAATTTAAAGTATTATATCACAAGGAACACACGTGCAAGAATTACATTGGCCTTTTCAACAGCATGGAAACAAGCCAAGACTACTGACTTGTCTGAATGATGGAACCTGAATGCAAATGGTCAAGGTGTCAAAAATGTGGGATTTTTCCAGTTCACAGACAACTGGGGAGGAGGAAAGGAAAGATGAGCCGTGCTCCGTGCCACATGCACAGATTCTATTAAGTAGTGGAAATGAAGGATGTTTAATAGCCAATGACAGAGAAGCAGAAGGCACAGAGAAGGAAAGTGCTGTGCAAGCTTCCCATACATCTGCTAATATACCTGATTTATAATAAATGTGTGACCAGCAGCACTTCTGACAGCACCACAGGCCACTCTTAACACAGAGAAGTGCAGAAGCCCAAACAGCAACCAAGCATGGGGTTTAGACCAACCACTCAATTCAACTGAAAATTAAACCACAATTGACTCCTAATATTTAGAGCTGAAAGGAGACTGCTTCTTGCAAGAGACATCCACTGGGAAAAGTATAACTGGAAGCTATTTTATCCTTCTCTCCTTTCTCCAAGGTCAGTTTCAGAGGACTGACTCACAGGTCCACAGGATATACACGCAGGCTGAATAATTAGATAATTAAGAAGAGTTAATTCAGAATGGAAGCATGCATTAGTTCTGTCACAGAGGTGCTCCATTGCTGATATCAAAGCTTATAAAGGAAATCACCACTTTTGTAAAACTTTGGAGACCTTAGGTGACAAAGACGCAAAATGGCTTATCAGTAATTCTCATAGCTCTTGGCACTATAAAGCAGCTGGCAAGTATTGTCAGATATGGCCCCTCCGCTTAGGCACACAGAGGAGATGCTGCTTTCAGTATAGGCAATTCAGCACATGAACCGCCATCAACAATTGCTGATGTAATGCTATTTTTGAGAAGCTTAAAGATTACTTTAGGTTTAATGTCAATGCTAGCCTGCCTCTAGGAAACAACCCTTACCCACCCCATGCTGTAGATAGCAACACTTCTGTAATCAGTTCCGTTGACAGAATCCTGTACCCGTGCAGCGACCCACTGACTTCAGTAGGGTTTCATACCAGCATTGTGACCTGTGCTGTGCAAAATCAGGAAAAACTTGACACTGGTTATAAAAGTCAAGGCGAGAAGACTTATTCTCAGATGTGAATGTTGATTGCAGGTTTCTATAGTACAAGTCACTATTCTACATCAATCGCCATTCTCTTATATAAGCTGTGATCCTTTTTTCAAAATTCTGCATGCCTCTCAGGGCAAAGATGCAGGAAGGTGACTGAAAGGGGCAAAAAATTAATTTAAACACAATCAAGTCTAAACAAGCAGCACTTGGATTTTGAGTTCCCTGTACTATTGCTCTTTAAAAAAAAAATCACATCATTGAAGCCCCCTCAAGACTAAAATCAGCATTGAGAAAGACCAAACCAAAACTAAGAAAGGGATAATTGATCACGCCAGCTGGGACAGTGGATCATTTGAGAGGTAATAGGGGTTTTCTGTCTGTTTTTGAAATGTGTGATTTTTTTTTCCTTCTTGGCAATGGAGTGTTTAGGGGGGCAAGGCTGGCTCTGGGCATAGTATTCCTGAGGAACAATGCCACAAGAAGATTAATGGAAAATGCTAATGAAACCAAGGTAGACACCATCTTATAGCATTGTCTATCACCCTGCATCATTTGTGCTCGCAGCATTACTGGAGGAAAGGATGCAATAATGTATATTCATCCCCATCTTTTTTTTCCCCCCCAAATACAAATTTAGTACTCATGGAAGGAAGACCAAAAGCCCTAGCTAGAGCCAGGCACAGAGTCAGACTGTGTTAGTTTGCCTTCAGCTCTACTGCTATATCCCCCTTGGCAGTCTCATCCTGTACCTCTCCTGAGTAGCAGCTGCCCATTATCCCAGACTGGTCTGCTATATGCCGGGGAAGTCTCCCTCCCCTCCAACTAGTTTAAAATTAGTTGAGCTAACCGATTTTGAAGTTAGCTGGAGCCTTAGTGTAGACCAGGCACCAGATAGTTTGAACTGTTTTGTTCACAGAATTGGTTTTTAAAAAAAAGTGCTCTGCATTATGTTCTTATGTTCTTAAATATCAATTAATTGAATAGTCAAGTAACCTCATGAATTCTTATTGGTTAGTCAACTATTCTGTAGTCCCTGGGGGTGGGGCTGGCAGCAGTGTGGGGTGCCAAGCAGGAGCTAGTCCATGAGGGGAGCCAGTTTAAAAACCAGCTCCTCTTGTGGACTGGCTTCTTGTCACCCTGTGCTGCTGCCCCTGATAAGAGGCAGAACCCCGGTCTGGGGTGTGCATGTCTGAGGTCCTGGATCCAGTGTGAACTGGAACTGAGCCAGGCTGCCTGCACGCCCAGCTCCTAATATACTTGAATACATAGCCACAGCGGGGGATAGGTCCCGGACCCGGCCTGAGCCAGAGCTGAGCTGGGCTGCTGGCCAACCTGCTAAAAAATTTACTGGTTGGGGGCGGGGAAGGGGACGTGCATGTAGTCTATAGCATTACATCCCTATTCTGCAGATTGTGAAAATTAATTCAGTTAAAATGGCTTAGGGCACTTTTAGCATAACCCATACTGGGTTGTGGTTTTATGAAGTGCATAAATAGGAATTAGGATGAATCTGCTAAATTTACTTATGGTTAGAGATAAATTCTGAAATAGGTTCCTGCACTAATCCAGTACATCGTCCAGGCCGTTTCTTTTAATGGTTAAAAATAAGGATTAAAGCTGTGCATATTAGGCAAGGGGGAAAAAACTGCTCCCCCATCTCAGAGGTAGACCCATAACACAGATTAGAGCAGTCTAAGTGCTACTCTAAGGCAGAGTTCCCTCCATCTATGTACAAATGTGCACCACCAGTAGAAATGCATGTTGCCAGCTATAGACACTCTGGTAATCTGCTGGGTGTCATTTGAATCTCTCCAGGGTGGCTGCTGAAGTGCTTAGCTTACAAAAAACGCTGATCTAAGGGTACGTCTACACTGTCATGTAACAAGGCTGTGTCAGGACTTTTGCTGACAAAATATTTCTAGCCCCCATCAGAGTGCTCCTGCTGACAAAGTTTGCATTTGCATTTGCCACGGCAAATCTTTTGTCATTTAGAGAGGAGAATGTTTAAGCATCTGTGAACCACAAGTTTTGTCAATCTATTGCAAGTGTAGACAAAGTCTAACTCTGCCAAGAAGCCAGTACTATAGCCAATGGTTGTCCTAACCTTGTCTCCTGAGCTGGATGCAAAATGGAGTTGAGTGTACGAACTGCTATAATTGGCTCTGCACACTTAAGCATCTCACGATGCATGGAGAATCCTGCAGTAGCCTAACACTGGTTAAAAAGGGCACTGATGGGATGATAAAAAGCTGCCCTAATGCAGAGAAAGATCTGGCCTGTATAATGTCTGGAACCCCAAAAACTTCAGGTTTAATAAAATAAATCATTTACAAAACTGAACATCTTTATTATCTTCCCATCAGTTTTAACAAGAGCATTCAGACTGCATGTAAGTAAGTGTTACCCTGTAGTTGTAGCCATGTGGGACTTAAGAATCGTAAAGTAACTGAACATTTTTCATGTTCCAAGCTAAGTGTACTGGAAGTAGTAAACAAGATTATTAATGGAAGTAAAAATAGATTATATTATATTTTGGATCAATTTTATTAACAGGAAAGGACATGTTTTAGTTTGATGGTGCCATTTTAAATATCAAACAACTGAACCCATTTTGATTGTTCAACCAGGATTACACCAAAGTGGAAGTTAGGTTAGGCCTATTCCAGGTAAGGCCTATTCCACATGGCCGCTATCAAAGATGTACTTGATTGCTAAGAGAACAGGTTAATCCAAATCTAAATTCAAAGTGAAACTGAAAGTGACAGTGTGTGGCAATATGACTACCTGGAATAGTTTCTTACGGGCATTAATGTTACAGGACTCAGCCCTGAGCAAAATAGGTGAGAATTTCTTATCCAAACTGATTAACAAAAAGTGAGAGAGCTTGTTGAGTGCACTATTTTTAATTCAGTCATCATTTTTCATAACCAGAAGAGACAGGGGAAGAGAGAAAGCAGAAAGACAGTAGAGACCTGTCACTGCACAACATGCTGATGCTTTTAACACAATCTCTACTTTCATGACATCCTTCTGTGTTATCTGATGGTCACTCAAATACTAATGAATTTATCCTCACAATACCCCTGTGATGTGGGGGTAGTACTGTAATCCATATTTTACATGTGTCAGCCAACAGCTAAGAGGACAGTTGCATAATGGAAGCTCTTGCTGCACTGTACATTTAGGGAGACATTTTCAGTGTTGTGACAGGTTTTTGGCTGCACAATATGTTGTCAAATAGCTGAACCCCTGTGCAGCACTATATAAAGCTGTGAAGTTATCAACAAAATGTATCTCTAGCATGAGAAAAGTGACTAACAATACCTTATCGCAGCCCATTTATTTTTCCTGTTTCTCCCAAATCACCTCTGCTTAGTTCACTGACAAACCCAAGTTTTTAGTATTATCAGCACTACAGAGTAAATCTGGATTCTGTTCTGCTTCATCAAAACTGCCTGCTAAATTTCTGAATCTACTGGTAGTAGTGATACATGAAGCAGAATGAAGGGGAAAAAAAGGTCAAACAATATTTCCTATATGAGACAGACCTCACAGTGCACTTTAGAAATGTCTGAACTGAGCAAACTGGATCTGAGAAACACAAAGTACAACTGAGCTTTTTATAGCATCCTTCATACCAAACATAGGTGGAATAATGCCAGAAGATAAATAGAAAACAGAGATGTAGTTTTTGTCACTTTTCTGGCCATAGCCAAGCTTTAAGAAGACCTTGTATTTTCCACATCCACTACAGAGTCTACTGTATTCCTGAGAGAGCAAATTAAGGGTTTTGGCTCCTGCATTATTCACATTTGGAAGGGATGAGGGAAAAGGGAGAGATTTTCAGGAAAACTTCCTTCCGCAAAGAAGTGAAGTGCCCCTTTGTAAACTAAAGGAGAAAACAAGGGTCTTTTCCAATTTATAACTGAACTATGCAAATATCTGACTCACAGGTAATGGGAAACAAGTCCAGCTACAGTTTGAGCAATTCCCTCAGCAACTAAATCAAACCTCCCAAAAACTTCAAGAGGCTAGGCCAGACAGGAATTGGCCGGAAGCACCACATTCTTGCCAAAATCCACACTAGTTCAACTAATCCTTTTAGCAAGTCAGGAGCAGCACTGGAAAACATGGAACAAAAATGTCCCATACAAGTAAATGGTCAATATTACAAGTCAGCCAATGTACACCCCAGCAGTGAACATAAAAGTTGCCAACAAAGGGTCTTGGCGGAAAAGTAATGGCGCTAATGAATAAAAGTAGCATGGTGAACTTTAAAAGGAAGGATAGTGCAAGATGAAAAACAGACTCTCTGTTCTTCAGAAAGAGTTTGCTGACATTTGCTTTTTCCCTTCTGATGGAAGGTATTAATAAATGTTTAAGGTTTCAATATTAAGTGTTTTCATTAAAACTGTTAGTGGGCAAAACACTGTTCCTAATGCAAAAGAGGTAAGGGATGTTGGAAATTAACCATTACTCTAATACCTTCAATATGAATAGACAACAGGGTAAAATAGCAAAGAAATCAGGAGAAACTAACAGGCAAAAGGAGGAAGTCCTGAAGATAAAATAAAATAAAACCTTCTCTGATAGGCCAGAAAAAAACGTTTTGATTTAGCATCGATGGACTTAAAGTACTCAGGGAATAAAGGGTTAAATTTTTGAAAGTAGTTTTGGGTGACATGCTTCTGGGATGGAAAGAGAGAAAGAAAGAGGAGGAAGTAGCAATATAATGAACTGACATGCTCCTCTAAATATACATAAGATCAAGAAATATTATCCAAAGGAAGTTTGAGGGCACAGGGGAGGACGGAAGGGAGGAGAAAATCAAGGAGGTGCAGGAACAAGATGAATTAAGATTATGCTTCTCCAGATGAGAAAACATGTTACTATTGTGGGGCACACAGAGTCTTGGAGAAAGGTCACAAGTGGGACTAGAAACCAGGGCCCCCCAGAGTTACCTAAGTGAGTGCTCTGCCCACTGAGGAAAAGAAACTCATACTGAGCAGAGACTCTTACCTCTCTCTCACTGTTCCTTGCAATTTTTAAAATGTGAGTGATCAAAAGTATTTGAGACACCTTATTACAATCGGTTACTTGCTGTGTGCACACAAGCCCTTTGTGAGTTGGGATGAGGCTGAAGGGAAGGATACAGGCAAAATATCATCTCCACTGAGCATAAATTCACCAGTCCTTGGCCCCTTTGCTATTTGCAATAAATATCCAATTGGTGATGGAGGTACGTTCTCGCTTGTGTACGGTTTGACGGGTTGCCTCTAAAGTGCGAGATGCCAAGGTTCCACTCGGCGTGTTCCTCAGCTCTGTACAATTTGACAAGGGCATCCATTCAGTCACAGAACAGGGAGATGGGGGTTAAAAACAAAGGGGAGGGGAAGGGTTGGGGGAGCTAGTCTTCTTATCCTTTGGCACTTGGAAGATGAGGTGGGGAGTCTAATGGAGACTGCTGCTGCCGCCGCCGCCGCCTCCTCTTCCACCTTTCAGTTATTGATCCTATTAGCAGAATCGGGTATGCACAGGTATCAGGAATTGCTGCCTCTCCATGGTTACGCTCTGGGGCAATCAGATGTCCATCTCAAACTGAGCATCATCCCCTGGTAACAGAAAAAAGAGCAGCATTACAAATAGATCTCAGGAAGTCCTCAAGAGAAAAGACAATCACTGCACTTCTACAAACCCTATTTCCTAATATATTTTCTGGCAGATAATATAATGGCAGATTTCATTCCCATAATTAACCTTGCACAACAGTCGGGGGCAAAATCAGATAATTCATTATGGAAGATTATGCTCTTCTTGGGATACTGCAATCACTTACAATGTGCATTAAAGACAGGAGAAGACAGCCCTGTCTCAGCAATCACTAGTTCAAGTTGGCAGCCTTACAAAAAAAAAATCACCAAAATATCACAATTTTTTTGTCATTTGAATTTATTTGCCAAACGATTCTATGAAGATCAGTTTACAGCCTAGATGTCAATGCAAATAACCTAGTTATTGCTCAATATTAATTCGTATATGTAAAGGGCTATATTCCTGGAAGAGACACTGTCTCTTTGAAGTTACAAGCATGAATTTTGCTACCCATTTCTCATTACAGAAAAAGAAAAACTGAAAACCACCCAGTGGCCATTATCAATGAGGAGATACAATACAGCAGGAAGTAGCTACGGCTGCGTCTAGACTGGCATGATTTTGCGCAAATACTTTTAACGGAAAAGTTTTTCCGTTAAAAGTATTTGTGCAAGAGAGCGTCTATACTGGCATGTGACTTTGCGCAAAAGATCTGCTTTTGCGCAAAAGCAACCGTGCCAGTGTAGATGCTCTCTTGCACAAGAAATTAACGTGGCTGTCTACACTGGCCCTCTTGAGCAAGAATACTTGCGCAAGAGAGCTTATCTTTGAGCGGGAGCGTTGGAGTATTTGCGCAAGAACCACTGATTTTGTACATTACAAAGTCAGTTTTCTTGCGCAAATACTCGCGGCCAGTGTAGACAGGTGGCAAGATTTTGCACAAAAGCAGCTGCTTTTGCGCAAAATCATGCCAGTCTTGACACACCCTACCTGTTTAATCACATCCTTGTACACATACAAGTTTTAAGTCTTGAAATGTGCTTTCGGCATTTTTTTTTAAAAGCTTTCCTACCACGGCAAGAACAACATGCCCGTTGACCATGCCTGGGCAAAACACCCTTCATGGGCCAGTTCTGGCCTGCCAAGTCACTAGATCCAGTCCATGGATGCAGCAGGGAGACTCAGGCAGACTCCCCTGCTTGCCCCGCCCCTGCATGCCACTCAGAAAAGTGGACACAGGGCTGTTTGTGTTTCACAAACTGTGAGCCTGGACAAGCAGGGAGACTCAGGCAGACTCCCCTGCTTGCCCCGCCCCTGCATGCCACTCAGAAAAGTGGACACAGGGCTGTTTGTGTTTCACAAACTGTGAGCCTGGACAGGAGGAGGGAGTGGTGCTTCATGGCTGCATCCCCAGCACAATCCCATTGGCCAGTTTCTGAAACCAGATGAGTCTCTTTCGCTGTCCCTGAGACTTAAACAATTACTGAACCATTACAGAAAACAAAGAACTCTGGCAAAGGAAACCTACATATTAAATTTCAGGCTTCAGGTATTTATGAGCCCATCACCATGGTATCTGAGCACAAGATCCACTAATATGACAAGCAAGGGAGCTTTAAAGACATTAACCATCACCCATTCTCTCTTACCCACTGCAGGCTTCCTGTCATGATTGTTCAGATTGTTTACTTCCACTTTGGAATCCTCAACTGTGGTACCTGGACTGGTGACTCCTGGAATATTTGGGAGATGGCATGGTGGCGTCTGAGCCATGGGGGAATTGCGGCGATCTAACAAAAATTTACGGTCGTAGATGATTCGGGTACCTAGCACATAGTGAAACAAAACGAGAAAAATCAGCAAGTAAGAATACACACAGAACATGTTGGTAATGTTATGTCAATGTGAGCAGGATTCAGAGGAAAGAGGCACTTGGAATCTCATCACCAAGCTGGTAAAATAAAATGGAAATGAAATAAAAGAAGCATCTGGGCTTGGGAGCTATATTAACACCAATCACATCTGCTGTTCCATTTACAGAGAGTACCTGCCTTGTAACTCAGTTCAAAGGCCTTCTCCCCCCAACCCTACTCCTACAATCTTAAAGAGGCACAGATTAAAAATACATGTCACCAGGCCACATAGGAAAGAAAGCCCCAAACATTCTACATGTAGGGGCTCTCAAGTCAAAACTATGTCCAGCACTGGAGAATTGACACACTTGAGCCAACTCACTGTGCCCTCAAAATGGGAATACAAAATAAGTCTTATATTGAAACTAGTCCTCCCCAACTCCACATTTCAATCTCTTTCTGTTACCCAAGGAAGCAATAAAAGGAAGGAACCGCTAGGCAACTTAATTTCAAACTCTTCAGTGTTTTTTCAAACTGTACAACAAACATCAACATTCCCTATGTCCCAAGCTCCATATGAACACCAAATAAGATGAAGTCGACTTGCTCAAGTTTAACATTATAGACACTACAAAGCCCAAAAAAGACTCACTGATCATAATTAACTTTTACAACTTTTAATGCAGTGTTTGCAAAAGGTGCCGACTGACAGCTCTGGTCAGCAGTCTTCTATTTATCAATAGTATAGGACAACATGGACTTGATAATGCAATCTCCAACGTGCTTCTAGTGCAGTGATCTCCAACCTCTTTACACCCACAATCACTTTTTAAATCTCAGAACAGGCGAAGATCTACCGCCCCGCCCCTTCCTTGAAGCCCCGCCCTCTCTGTTCTCCTCCTGTCCATCACTTGCTAACCCCAGCCCTTACTTACACACTCTGATAAACAGTTTATTTTTAAATTATGTGATACATACAATTAAAACCACACGTTTATAGTTATGAAATAAATGGTCTGTTTTTTATTCATGCTATTTAAATCTAAAATGAAGCATTTATAATTATACATTTTGTGAGGACAGAGTTCTGCGGCTCGGGGCAGGGGAAAGGGAACAGGGTGCTGGGAGGGAAGAGGACAGGGTTCTGCAGCTGGGGACAGGGTGCCAGTGGGGACAGAGTTCAGGGAGTGGGGACAGAAATAGGGACAAAGTTCAGGGAGTGGGGACGCGAATGGGGACAGAATTCGGGGAGTGGGGACGCGAATGGGGACAGAATTCGGGGAGTGGGGACGCGAATGGGGACAGAATTCGGGGAGTGGGGACGCGAATGGGGACAGAATTCGGGGAGTGGGGACGCGAATGGGGACAGAATTCGGGGAGTGGGGACGCGAATGGGGACAGAATTCGGGGAGTGGGGACGCGAATGGGGACAGAATTCGGGGAGTGGGGACGCGAATGGGGACAGAATTCGGGGAGTGGGGACAGGGGAGTGGGGACAGTTCTGTAGCTGGGGACAGAGTTCCCAGCGCAGGAAAGCCCCACGTGCATGCCTGCCCCGAGGCCAACCGCCCCGCGCGTGGCAGAAAACCCCTTGCGCGCCTCCCCCGGGGCTGACTCACCCCTCATGTGCGGTGCAGGGAGCCAATGCTCCCTCCCGCAGTACACCTAGCAGAGCAGCTAGTGGACTTCCAGAATCGCCGGAAGTGGCGCTAAGCTGCGGGACTTCTGTCCATCCCCGGGAAGCCGACACTACCTCCATTTTCACTTGAGGTAAGTAGTGGGGCTTCTTGGGGGTGGGAGGGAAATGGGGGCGGGGCGGACAGGACGCCTCGATCGACCTGTTGGTGACCACGGTTCTAGTGTAACCTGGTGGGATGGTGAGGGAAAAGGACAGGGTATGGCTTCTATACCCATGAGTGCCAATCATGGCAACAGATTTTGTGATGTCAGCACCTGCCCACTGTTACTATTACCTGTGATGAGCCCATTTAGGAAGGATTAAGTGAGGAAGAGGGGACAGGAAATGACACTATATAAAAATGGCATTATCTGTTTCCAAATCTCTGATAACTGAGAAGATAATGATCTTGAGGGATTAATGGATCAATGCCCTAACACCGAAAGCATAAAACAGGTTACTAGTTGGTGTTTGCGACAAACAAATCACACTGGGAAACAGGAGGACCACTTTCTTTCCTTTCCTGCTCATCATACAAAGATGAGTAAGAAAGTGGTCCTCCTGTTTCCCAGTGTGATTTGTTTGTCGCAAACACCAACTAGTAACCTGTTTTATGCTTTCGGTGTTAGTCAATGAAGCGGGGATTTAAATATCCCCCGCTTCATTAGAATAAAAATGGCCACTGTGTTGTGCCAGCTCAGCTGTTTGTTGGCACAAAGCAGCAGTCAAGATGGCGATCGGTCAGCAAGGAAAGCCTTTGCCGACCGATCACTTATACCTTGTGCAACGAGGTTTACAGGATCGGTCGGCAAAGGCTTTCCTTGCCAACTGATCCCTGTCTTGACTGCCGCTTTGTGCTGACAAACTGCTGAGCCAGCACAACGTGGTGGCCATTTTTATTCTAACGAAGCAGGGGATATTTAAATCCCCGCTTCATTGACTATGTCGGTATGTCAATTTAAACGCCTCTGGCAACAGAGGCGTGTAGTCTAGACATACCTTTAGTGACATGCTAGAGCTCTCATGGTGCCAGTACTAAAACATCCTTGGAATTTCTAAGCATTACAGAGGGCAGATTCCTAACTTAAAAAGTGTTGCAGCCAAGATGGGTGAATTCTATATTAGAGCTTGTCCTAACAAATAAAAGGGCAAAGGCACCGATCACAGAACTAAATTTAATGGTAGCTTAGGTACAAGTAATCATGACTTGATCACATTTATAATGTGCAAGCAGAATAAAGTCCAGAGTAGTAATTTATCCATGCAATCCATATGTACATTACACAGCAAACTGGACACACACAAATCACATGCACTTATGAGTGCATCTACATCTGGGGAAAAAAGAAGGCGGCCAAACTTACAGGACGGTGGACTCTATCCTTGGAAGCAGTGACTGAAAAAGATTTAGGCGGGCATGGCAGCTAACCAACTGAACATGATCTCCTAGTGTCATGCTGTGGCCAAATGAGCTAATGCAGGGGTGCGCAATAAAATGGCAACAGTTTGCCAGAGTTAGCCCCTGGTGGGCCATTGTCGCTACATTTCAGGGATGTTAGATGGCGTGTAATTGAATAGTCGTTTAACCACATAAAATGTTTCTCAACAGACCCTGAAGGTGGGGCCAGCAGCCAGTGTGCTCCCAGGCCCATTCCCAGGGAGCCCCCTGCCACTCCGTACTGCTGCCTCTGTATCAGAAGCAGCAGTGTGAGTTGGCAGGAGGCAGCTGGTTCACAAGGTGAGCCATTTTTAAAAAACAGCTTCCCACACACACCAGCTCCCAACACTGAGGCAGCAGCACAGGGTGGCAGCAGTCCATGTCTGTGCGGGGGTCTGAGCTCCCTGGAGACAGAGACTGCACCGTGACAGCAGCCCCTGTCTGCAGGGAGCATGGACCCCACCTCCACAGACAGGAGCTGCTGCTGTGGATCAGCCTCTGTTGGTGGCAGGCCCAGACTTGCTGCAAAGAGAGGCTGAAGGCAGAAATATTAAGCACTGGCTCACCTCAAAACAGTGCCAGAAGCCTTCTGCAGAAGGAAGGTTATTAAAGGTAAGATCTCTTTCATATAACGATTTCTGTCAATGTGGGAAAACATTCAATGTCCATGACAGGTGACAAGGTACAGTCAAAGCTTTCAAATTAAAGTACCACCATGAACTCAAAAGGACAGGCAGCTGTTTCCAGAAAACAGAAGGGACTTTGTACAAATGGGAGAATTTATCCTAGCTAAAGCCTCAGTATCCTCATTCAGAATTCTGTGTTGCTGGTCCTTAGTTTCTGCTGGCTGCTAATGTTCCCAAAGTGCCCAACTTGGATTCTGTTTCCGCACATTCCCTACAGGTAAGTTAAATATAGTTTAATTAACTAGTTGATGGATTTTCCATTGACTAGTCGATTAGTCAATAAGCGGGGAGCCGCAGCAGGATTAGCTCCTAGCCAGGGAACTAACCCCGCTGCTGCTCTGCCTTTTACATGCATTAAGAACCTGTTGGCTATTATTACATTTAAAAGGCTAAAGTGTAGCAGGAGGGACCCAGCACAAGCAGAGAATCAGCTGTCCCAGCTCGTGCAAGGTTCACCCTGCTGCGCTTTAGACGTTAAAATGTACATTCAAAAGACTAAAATGCAGCACGGGACCCAGCGCAAGCCAGGAACTAGCTGTCCCCACCTGCGCAGGGTCCCCCAACCAACAGGCTCTTAATATATTTAAAAAGCAGAGGTGCAGTGTCTGGGACTGAGAGCGAGCTGGGAATCAGCTGATTCTTGACTTGTACCCAATTCCTGCTACCCGCCAGCTTGACCTGCCCCCCGTGGAGACGATGCTGGGGGAACTCGCTTTTAAGCCAGCTCCCCCCACACTGGCTCCTGTTTCCCAAAGGCAACGGGTGTGGGTGGAGGTGGGTGGAAGGAAGCAACTAGTTGAGGGACTGCCTATCCAGTAATCTTTTGCTTATTGGATAGTTGTCTAGTCGACTAGTTGCTTACATCCCTAATTCCCTATCCCTTATAGGTGTCCTCAGCCACACTCAAAATGTTTCCAATACAGAGGGCTCTTGCATAACAGTGAGGACAGAAAAATAAGGAAAACAGGTAAATAGACCTGACAGTGATTTCTGTCCAAATGTGCAAAGTAAGTGAACAGCCACACAGCTGCCTAATAAGCCCTGTGAAGAGATTCAGGGCTGCTGTGGATGGGGGAGGCTCCTTCCCCCCTGCCACAGCAGCTCCCTGCTTGCCCTGCTGGTGCCAGAAGAGTGCATATCTCTTCTGGCTGCGCCATCTCCTTTCTGAGGC